GTAATTTCCCTAAACAGTGATCATGTATATATATTGTAGTATAAACTTGATATATGTACAATAAAGTATTCTAAACCAGAATGCGGTGCATCACACACGTCGATTGGACAACTAGTAGCTTAAGAAAAGTTTTCCCGTAATACCATAACGCAATGGCACGTTTTTGACCAAATTTTTTTAAAGAAACATCGAAATCTCTAAACAAGAAGGGCACCTTTGATGTTAATTTAGTATTTACAGAGACATTAGCTTGTACAAAAAGGGCACTTTTCATCACAAAAAGGGACACTTTTCGTCCTTTGAAACAATTTGGGAGGGAGGGCACGCGCTCCCTCTGCCCCCCTCTTCCTACGCCCCTGATTCTAAGACCACTTGATCCCGAGATTGAAGAAGGCTTTATGTAGATGAACATTTCGATATATATGAATATATTTAATTTAGACCTATAACCAGCTGCGGAAAATAGAACTATAGCAGGAATCGAACCTACGACCCGCAATTCCGTTGCAGTGCTCTAACCAACTGAGTTATAGAGTTCAGTTATCGAGCTCCAACCACAAGTTCTTGTTTATATACAGTATATAGTACAGGTGATGCCATTATATAAAATATGAACAGATTGAAAGATTTATGTAGGATGGAAATTTCAAGCACAAATTTCAAGAAAAATCCCAAGCGCAATTTCAGATTTACAGCGTCATATTCCCAAAAATCTCTATATTTAGCCACAGGTTCGATTCCTGTCAGATGACAGCATTTTCGCAGCTGCTCCTGTAGTTAAGTCTGTAGTTAAGTTTAAAATTGTATATATTGAATCTTTCGTTATAAATTTCCATCTACTGCATGCAGGATCGTCGGGAGAGAGGCAGAGTGGAACTTTATCTCGGCCGGGGCTCGCAAAACAAGGGACCCTTAAAATTTATTGATGCCAGATTGATGAACTCAGAATATAAATCCCAGTACCCAGATCAATAATACATCTAGAAATCTCAAAAAATTAAGAAAATTGTCGGAAAAAAATAAACGATTTTATGTCCGCAAATTTTTTTCCGGCACCAAATGAACCATTTAATTTGTCCGGCGCCATATGTCGTGAAAATTTTTTGTTCAAGATTATACGTATAGTGTAATTTACAGCATGAGTTCCACATTTGAATTTTACTATGCGAGTAAATTGTTAAACGCGTCCGAATTTATCAACATGATAAATGCCAAATTCGCGGCACCTAACCCTTAACCTTAATTTTGTGTTACACAGCTTCGATCATGTTATATATACCCATTATCAGTAACCTTGCCCTCTCATTCAAGTGCTACAGTATGTATATCTATACTGAAAAAAAAGTCAATCCAAAAATAAAAAAATACAAAAATAAAAAAATACAAAAATCAAAAAATACAAAAATCAAAAAATACAAAAATCAAAAAATACAAAAATCAAAAAATACAAAAACTGTTTTTGTGCTGTCGCGTCTGGGCCACCGTATATTAGAGGAAAAATCCCAAGAAAATTTTTGAAATTTAAAACCGTGAAATGCTATTTCCTGCATTCTGAGCATCCAAAAAATAAAAAAAATATTAACAATAATTTATCATTACTTAGTGGTAAAAAAAGTAACAATTTAAATCGATTTTGTTAAACAAGAACAAAGGATAAAGCCTAAAACTTACTTTCCGCTTATCTATTTGTTAATCTTCGCTGGATTGTTTGTATAATTTTAGGAAAAAGGGACTTTTCCTGGGG